ATCTTCAGAGGAAGAATCCATCCTTCTCTACAGATCCCCCTGCTCCAACAGAACCACCCCTGACACTGCAGGAGGACTGCAGCCACATTTCCAATGGGACTGCCACCAACCCCCTGACCCACAGGGTGTCAGGCTGGGTTCTGACTCTGGCAGTGTTGTTCTAGTCTACTGCATTGCTTATTTTATCCTTTTATTTTTTTCTTCTTCCCTATTAAAGAACTGTTATTTCTGCTCCCATATTTTTGCCTGAGAGCCCCTTAATTTAAAATTTATAGCAATCGGGAGGGGTGGGGAGGGTTTACATTCTCCATTTCAGGGGAGGCTCCTGCCTTCCTTAGCAGACTCCTGTCTTTCCAAACCAAGACAACATGGCAGAAAGGAGCACAGGATCTTTCCACAGGGTGGTTTCAATGCTGGTGTGACCCTCTGTGGTGAGTCTGTCCCTCTCCTGCTGTGGAGGGTCTGTACTCACCAGGAATCCGGAGGAATTATCCAGGAGGCAGCGAAAGCGGCACACAAAGCTCCTCTCCAGGAAGGAGGAGTTTTCCGGGGGCAGCTGATCCGGCTTGCAGATGCCAGCAGAAGAGCTAAGACTCTTCCCTGCTGTGGAAGAGAGAGATTGAGAGAATCAAGTAAGAATTCACCCCAGCAAGGGCGGGAGGTGCCCAGCACTGGGCACTGCAGCTGTTTGCAGAGCACAGCAACAGAAACTGGGGGGGAAAGCCACAACATTGGAACGAAGCCGTGGCCTGAGCCACACGAGGGCAAGTGGTGACAGCCAGCTGGGGTCCCAGCATCCCTGGTGGCACCCAGGATGGCAGCCTGCCTTTACCTGCTGCAGAGGGCTCACCAGCGTCCAGGGCCCAGCGGAGGTTGCGCCTGAACTCCGGCTGGTCCTCGGTGTGGATCAGCTCGAAGACGCTCTGGTGCATGACATCTGTCTGGAGGGGACACGCTATCTGTAAGTTCTGCAGCCTGTCCCCAGGGCCAGCTTTCACGTCCCACCTGGGAACAGCCCGTCACGGCCCCAGCTGGTTTCACCATACGCAGTTTCCCCGGTGCTCAAATGGGTCCCTGGCTAAATGAGGTTGGAAACTTTTCCCCCAGAACTGATGGTGGTGGGAACAGACAGCACATCTGGCTTTAAGGACTCCTTGCCCATGTTGGGCCTGACTTCCTCCCCTGAGGAGCTTAAAGAGCCAATACAGCTCAGCTCTGACACCCCCATAAGTCAAAATTTTAGTGCTGGCTTAAGAAATGAGATGAAAACATGGATTTTGGAACAAAAGAGCAGCAAGGCCAGCAAGGCCACCCCATCCCTACACTATTCCCAAGAGAACAATGTCCTGGGACTCGCTCCCTGTGCCCAGGTGGACAGGTGCCATCTACCCTGGTGTTGGGGACAGCCAGCTGTGTGTGGGTGACACCAAACCACAGTTTCCCTGTAAATATGATCCAGTGTCTCCTCCAGGTTACCTGGGTGCCCGAAGTGCTGGAGCACTGCGGGATTTACCAGGATTTGAGTGGGTGTCCCAGGCAAACTGGGCAAGGAACCCCAGAAATCTCCCCATGGCCATGAACCCCATGGCTGCTGGAAGTGTCTATGGGCTGATGAAGTCCCTTGTCACCTACAAGTGACCACGTCTGGCAATTCCCAAGGAAAAGCCCCAAACAACTCCCTGAGAGCCTGTGATCCCTGCAGAGCCTCCTCCCTGCAGGGAATTTGGGGCTCTTCACCACCACCAAGGAAAAACTGGCTCTCCACAGCGAGTCAGAGTCCCACCAACCTGGTGAAATCCCAGATAGTCCTGGATCGTATGCGAGGAGTAAAATATCAGCCCTTCTGATGTCACCACCAGCACAAAGCCATTGAGGGCCTGTGGGAGAGAGGAGATCAGCAGGTACAGGCCACAGCCACTTCACTTCCACAGCAGGACACCCACAGCCTGGCTAGCAGGCAGCTGAGCCACCACAGATGGCCTCTCTGAGCTCCTGCAGCTCTTCCACATAGCTGCCTGGGAATATCCTAATCCAGACTGATGAAAAACTGTGCTTCCATCCTGGGAGCATTGACTCAGACTCAGCTTTGGACATTTATCCTCATCCTGTGCAGGGAGCCTGTAAATGCCTCTGAACTTCTTGCAGTACGAAAGTGGACACCATCAGGAACAGGTCCATTCTGGTGAAAATGAGCCTTTCCAACAGCATCGAGGGCCTTGGGGAACAGGTCCATTCTGGTGGAAATGAGCCTTTCCAACAGCCTTGAGGGCCTTGGCAGTTGTGTGTGGCCATCCCAGGTTCCAGAGGAGTGGCCTGGAGAAGGACCATGGAATGCCTGGAAGGCCAAGGAAGGTGTTGTCTCTGCTGCCCATTCCCTCCTCAAGGTGGCCAATGCTGAAGGGGCCTTAACCGGTGGAAATGGAAAAGCCAAAAGCTAAAGCATAAAGGTTTGGATTTGAAATTGCAGCAAAAACAATCTTGATTTCTGAAAAGCCAGTTTCTTCCAAAGCAGCAGGGAATTCAGGCTGAGTCTGCTGCCTGAACTTGGGGGAAAACTACAAAATCCCTGGGTGACCCCAGAGCACCTTTTCCTTTCTGCCAATACATCGCAGAATCATTTAGGTTGGAGAATCCCTCTAAGATCACCACCACCTCCAAGATCATTTTTTCTGTAACACTACCTGGTTCATGCAGACCCCACCCCCATTAGGCTGAGTGCTGTGCTCTGTTTTCACAAAATAAACACCCAAAGCTCTTGTGCCTGTGTGGATTTGAAGCCCCAAGCCCTCCGCACAGAGAAGAGCAAATGCAGCCATCAATCTGAAGTTTCCATTGCATTTTTAATGTTGCACACTTAGACATTTCACAGTTCACTGGCCCTTCCATCCACTCCTCAGGCTCCAGGATTGCAAAGTCAATATTCAAGGGAGCACCGGGCTTCCTGGCAGGAATGGCTGAGCTGATTAGAGCCTCTGTCTTACCCAAGAGGGGCTCATTGCTACCGGTTTCATAAATTGGGGAAGTAATTTCGGTGTTTTCCCTGAGCTAAAAACCCCACAGCAGGACAGGACACATGAGAAGGGACCAGGGTGCTGGATGACAGTGTCCTTTACACGTGCAGAAGACTAGAAGGGGCAGAGGAGCTTCCCTACCAGTTTGGGAGGGCAGTTCTTTTGCTGTGGCTTTTAAGAGCCAAAACCATCCTGTAGCACTGACCTGGCAGGGAAGCCACAGCAGCCAGCCCTGGCCTGCTTCCCCCACTTCATAATGGGCAGACATCAGCATTAATTAGGGCCTGGCATGGAGTCCCAGCCAAGTCCAGCTATTGTTGCTGCCAACTCCTGTTTCATGGTCCAGGTCAGAGTTTCTCCCCCCTCTCCTTCCCTTTTCTTCCAGGCACAAACGCTCTCTCTATTTACTGGGGTTGGTCTCAGTGTGTGGGAATCTGCTGCAGAGGTTAATTAGTGCGGCCAAATGCACTTTAACCCTTCGAGCAGCTTCGAAGGAAGAAAGGGGAAGAATCAGAAACAAAGGAAGTTTGGCCATCAGAGGTGACAGAGCAGGTGGAAGTACGTTTGTAAGTATGGAGGAATGTTTCCTTGCGGGGGTACAGGGACAGATTCTGAGCTCCTGCCACATCCAGGGTCCCATAGGTAGAGCCTGAGAGAGCTCCACCAGCTTTTCAGGTGCTGTTTGGTACCTCCAAAAGGACAGCACCCAACTGTGTGAGGAGCTGATGAGCAGGACATCAACCCCCAGCAAGCCCTGCTGAGCAGTTTGGTTATATCCTGAGGGGAAAACCCTCAGGTTTCTGGCTATTAACCAGGCTGGCTTTAGCACTTCTCCCACCAGGCACAGAGAGTCAGGATCAGTGTGCCCACACTGAAAACTGCACTCAAGCACCTTGCTCAGCTTGGTTTTCACATTGTACCTTTGGTACACTTAGACATGAGGGCAGAGAAGCAGAAAATACAAATCACCATGCTCAGAAATCCAGCAAGATGTTCCTTACATATGGACTATTTTAAAATGGCAACTTTTTCCAGGAATAATGGGAAAAGCAGGGAAGAAGCAACCGTTTCTGCACTAGGGACCTTTGGAGGTCTTAAACTTCTGCCCAGTGAGAAGCACAGTGAGCTACACCACATGAAATCACAAATCACCTGCCATGAGTGAAAGAACAGCCTGGTTCTGGGGTACAACTCAAAGGAGCTGGAAGAGGGACAAGAGGAAGATCCCGTGGAGGCATTTGTGAGGAGCACTAACCTGTAGGAGCAGCTCACCCTCTGGAACTGCTGCTGAGCCCAGAGCTGGTCCAGCGCCACAGGCTCCGTCCCTCTGGGCTTCCTTGGCACCAGGATTCTTCAGAGCAACTGCACCAAGAAAAGGGAAGGGAAGGGAGGGACATCAGCGCTGCAGGAACACACTGCCACAACAGCTGGAATGCTGCAGGCTGGACAGGGCAGGGGAAGGCACCGTGCAGTCACAGCCCTTTGCTTTGCCTCTCACAAGATTGATTTTAACAGGATGTCTCCCCACCCCTCAACTGTTTCAGTCTGGGTTTTTCTCCCCCCCACTCCTTTTGTCCCTCTTTTAACATCCTATAAGTAAAAAGCAGTTAAAGCCAGGTAGGCATCAGAATCATGGAACTATGGAATCATTAAAGTTGAGGAAAGATCATAGAGCCCAACCATTCCCCAGCACTGCCCAGACCACCACCAAACAACATCCCCAAGTGCAACATCCACAGGTCTTCTGAACACTTCCCAGGACAGTACATCCACCACTGCCCTGGGCAGCCCGGTTTAATGCCTGACTTTTTTTGTGAGGAAGTTTTTCCCACTAACCAAAGTAAATCTGCCCTGGCACAGCTTGGGGCCATTTCCTCTGTCGCAGACATCTTTCACGAAAAATCCTTTCCTTAGGATTTTTTCCTCCTGAGAAGCTGTGAGGCCTCAGGAACAAAAACTAAACAATGATTATCTGCTGCTGTGGAATGCAACAGGTGCATCTGTGATTGGTCTCATGTGGTTGTTTGTAATTAATGGCCAATCACAGTCAGCTGGCTCGGACAGAGAGACTGAGCTACAAACCTTTGTTATCATTCTTTCCTTTCTATTCTTAGCCTAGCCTTCTGATGAAACCTTTTCTTCTATTTTTTTAGCATAGTTTTAATGTAATACATATCATAAAATAATAAATCAAGCCTTCTGAAACATGGAGTCAGATCCTCATCTCTTCCTTCAACCTGAGACCCCTGTGAACACCGTCACATTCCTCTGGTCCTGTTCCTCGGTCCCTAGAAGCAGAGCCCAGCCCTCACCTGTCAGGGAGTTGTGGAGAACAAGAAGGTCCCTTCTCAGCTTCCTCTTCCTCAGGCTGACCCCCTTTCCCAGCTCCCTCAGCTGTTCCTCATCAGATGTGTGCTCCAGTCCCTTCCCCAGCTCTGTTCCCTTCACTGGACATACTCCAGCCCCTCAATGTCTTTCATACTGTGAGGGGCCAAAATTGAACACACACAGATGTGGCCTCAGCAATGCTCAGCACAGGGGACAGTCACTGCCCTGCCCTTGTGGCCACAGCATGGCCTTCCTGACCACCTGGGCACATGCTGGCAGCAGCAGCAGAACTCTGCCCTGCACAGGAGGCACTGCAGCAAATCCCAGCATCAGGAATGTGCCATTTTGAAGGACACAGCTCAGTCAGTGTCTCGTTACAGTTCAGCAACCCAGTGGGCTTACTCAACCAAATTAAGGCAAGCCACAGCTCACAGTGGGAGAAAAACAACACAGAAAACACAGGGATGCAGACACAGAGATCCAATAGTGGTCCATGCACAATCCACATGCATGAGGGAATCTGTCACTCAGCTGAACTGAAGGATGTGCCCTAAATTTTGTTCTGTACTCTCCAAGAGAACAGTTCCTGTCGCAGACATCCTTTTGTGAAAATCCTTTTCTTTAGGATTTTTCTTTCTGAGAAGATGAGGCCTCAGAAACAAAATGTAAACATTGATTATCCGCTGCTGTGGAATGCATCAGGTTTTGTCTGTGATTGGGCCATCTTGAACGTCTACAATTAATGGCCAACCACAGACCAGATAGCTTGGACTCTTTGTCCGAGACAGATCTTTGTTATTCATTCTTTTCTATTCTTAGCTTAGCCTTCTGAGGAAACTTTTCTTTCTATTTCTTTTTAGTATAGTTATAATGTAATATATAAATAATAAAATAATAAATCAAGCCTACTGAACATGGAGTCAACATTCTCCTCTCTTCCCTCATCCAAGAACCCTTGTGACCACTGTCACAAGTTCCTGGGGATATTTCAGTGTAAGGGTAAGATGTCAACAAGCCTGTGCACGACAGGCCCGTCCAGAGGAGCTCACAGGAAAGCTGGGAAGTCTCTTGCCAGCACCACGAGGACAGAGGGCAGCATTTGGCTGCTGGCAAACCTGCTGCTCCCACAGGCATCTGGGAGGAAAGATGTGGAACACTAGCTGCCAGCTCACAGAGGGAGCAAGAGTTCTCTTGGATCTGCCTTTGCCAGCTCCTGGACAGGAGGAGGGCTGCCGTGGGAGCAGCCAGTGGACTCTGGAAGCAATAGGACAGCAAGTCAGCAGGCAACAGCCACCAGCACTTAAACAAAGCCAGGCTCTGTAATAGGCTCTGCTCTCCCTGGGCTGTGCTGAAGCAGCTGCTGAAACTCAGCTCCTCCATCTGCACAGAGCTGATCCTGAAGGATCTCAGACGCTGCAAAAGGCAGATGTTCCAGAGTCAGGCTCTGGGGACAAAGTTCTTCCACCAGGCACAGGACCATCCCAAAGATCAACTTTGCTCTGTAACCAAAGGCAAAGCACAGCCCACTGACAGAAAAACACCTGACACAGCAGCAATCCCACTGCTTCTGGGAGCTCCGGAGAACTCCCCGAGCTCAGCCTGCCCAGACTATTTCAGGAGCTGGCCAGGGATGGGCTGACACCAGGACTGAGGTTACAGCAGTGTTTGTACAACTGTGGGTCGGGCCTGAGCCAGCTGGGGTGGACACACACACACAGGCTGCTGGGGCCTCACCCTTTCACACCCTGAGGGAACACTGGGGTCCCCTGTCCAGATTGTAGCCCACATAAAACCTCAGGGAGGGACAGACCATTGGGATGAGAGAGGCCACAACACCCAGGCAGGGCCCTGTGGTGTGGAAGGAGCGGGTTTGTGCCAGCAGCCTCCCAGCAACTCGCTTTTCTGGTCGCTGGGAGCGAAATGTGGGAGCTATGAATTATTAAAGGTCTCCTCTGTGAGCTGCCAGCCTGCTGCGCTGGAGGTGAGAGATAAAAATAAACCTGGCTGAGAGGAGAGCAGCTAGAAGTGCTGCCCTCTGCTTAGGGCTCTGGTTGAATGGCTCAATATCACCCCTGCAAACGAAAATATTCATCTCAAGCACTGCCTAAAACCAGGCTATGCTATCAGCATCTGGGCTGTGGGGCCAGAGGAGACACACTGACAGCAGAGGACAGTCCTGTGCCCTCTGTGGGGATGCCTGCCACTGCTGAAGATTGCAATGCAAGTTGTTTTCCATCCCCATCTGTATGGCAGATTACCTTTGCCAAGTGGGCAGTTTGCTTTATCTCTCTCTCTGAGTGACCACATTCACACCTCCCTGGGAGGGGACATTGCTGATAACAGACTATTGAATGTCCCTGCATGGCTGATAAGAACTAGAACATCCCACTGGGAGATGTGAGCCCAGAGGGAGGAGCCAAGCATTGCTACCCAGATATAATCCAGAGGTGTGTGAGACACCAGCACGGCTTTCTCCACGGGATTCCCCAGAGGAACAGCAGCTGCCTCTCCTTCCACTGCATCTTCAGAGGAAGAATCCATCCTTCTCTACAGATCCCCCTGCTCCAACAGAACCACCCCTGACACTGCAGGAGGGCTGCAGCCACATTTCCAATGGGACTGCCACCAACAGCCTGACCCACAGGGTGTCAGGCTGGGTTCTGACTCTGGCAGTGTTGTTCTAGTGCACTGCATTGTTTATTTTATCTTTTTATTTTCTTCTCTATTAAAGAACTGTGATTTCCTGCTCCCATATTTTTGGCTGCAAGCCCCTTAATTTAAAATTTATAGCAATTGGGAGGGGTGGGGAGGGTTTACATTCTCCATTTCAGGGGAGGCTCCTGCCCTCCTTAGCAGACTCCTGTCTTTCCAAACCAAGACAGCCACCAAACACAATCCAACCACCAGGGTGTGAGGGATAAATCAGAATTCCAGTGGAGGCTCCCCAAAGAGGACAGGCTCCTGGCTGTGGCCACAGCAGGCTGGCACCCTGCCCGGTGTCCCCCGGCTTTGTGTGTCCATAAATAGCCCCGTGCAGCCCCTGGGGTCAGCAATGCAGCACAACTGTCACAGCACATCAGGCTGACGGAGCAGAAGGAGCCGGGGAACCGCCACATCCTCTCTGCTGCGTGCATCCCGCCTGGAGCTGGGACCAGGAAAGGGGGATCCATCCCAGGCACAGGGCTCTCCTTCACCCACGGCAGCAAGACCAGGTGCAGCCTTTGCCCCTCCTGCACAACTGGGAACAGGCACTTGCAGGGATAAAAAGAGAATAAAAACAAGAGAAGTGGCTTTCCCTCCCTCTGGTCACCAGTGTCACCTCTGTGTGGTATTCACATTCTTTGGAAAAATCCCTTTGCCCAGGATTTTTCTCCTAGGAAGCTGAGAAGGCTCAGAGCAAAAAAAAAAAAAATTATTTAATTTGATTTTCTTCTGTTTTGTTCATGTGGAATGTGTTTAGAGATTGTTTACTAAAAGTCATTGTTTCATTACGTTCTGATGTGAATTGTTTTCATTCATTAGCTAATTAGTGCCAAGCTGTGTCAGGACTCTGGAAAGAGTCAGGAGTTTTCATTATTATCTTTTTAGCATTTTGCAAGTATCCTTTCTGTATTCTTTTAGTATAGTATTCTTTAATATAAATAGCATCATAAAATAATAAATTAGCTTTCTGAGAACACAGAGTCAGATTCATCATTTCTGCCTTCATCTGAACACCCCTCAAACGCGACACCTTTGTTGCTGGAGGTGAGAAAGGTGAGAAGTTGGTCACCTGAAAGCAGCAAGGCTTGCACAAATATAATGCTATTTCTTCCAAGAAACAGCTCCTGCCTGGCCCTGCAGGCTATTTGGCCACAAAGAGCTCCATCTCCAGATGCTTCTGAGCCTGGGAATCTGTTTCATGTGGTGCTGCAGGGACACCTCACTGCCTACAGAATTTGCCAGTGAACTCCTGAACCTGCCAGGGCTTTGCAGACCTGGGAAATCCCTGCAGCACCAAGCAGGAATTAACATTTTTGAGAGGATATCTCCCAGGCCCCTTCC